ATGTATAACTCTCTATAATCAGCAGTAGTGATGGGTCCAGCAACACCGATGCGTTGACGCATGGATCAAGCCCACAGACCAAAACCCGTGTCGGTGCGCGTATTGGTTTCAGCAAGTCACGTGACCAATACAGGAACTGTTTCAAAATGGCGCTGGATGCCAAACTGTGTTTATAAGGAAGCGAATCTGTCAATCTGTCAAAAGCATTTGCCAAACAAATTCTTGATCTTTTACAGCATCAACTACGGAGCAGCTTCAAAGGAAAGGTTCCGCAGAGTGGGACCATTTTGATCTTATACTGGAAAATAAATTTGTTTTCATTTTTGTCGTTTCATCCGGTTCTTGTCAGTTTCTACTTTATCTATCTGAATCCAAATTCAGCTGAAACTGACTCTTAGTTTACTTTCATATTATGTTCTGCAGGTTAAATGTCGCATATGTTTGACTAAACTGTCTTATTTAAATAAATCTACCTTTTCAATGTTGAGGCATTTTGAGGCCAGGCATGAGAATGAAGTCCCAGATACACCTAGATAAACTCAGATATGCATCCATTCTACAAATTACTCAGTTGCTTTTTATAAATTATTTCATATACAGTGACCCCTCGCTGTAACGGGTTCATCTTTCACGGTATCGCTGCTTCTGCGTCCTGATTGACCGTATGATTGGTAAAAACAGTCTCCGCGCTTCTTCTCTATCTGAGTGGCAATAATATTACGGTATTTAATACAGATTGTCCATTCAGGAGATGGAAACTGAAACTTTGAATGCCAGCTGAAAAAAACTGTGGCCAGAGGCAGCAAAACCCGATCGGAGGCTCGTTTGATGAGATCCATCGCTCTGCCGTAGATCCAGCTGTGAATCTCTTGGGGCAGATTGGAGGAGACACTTTAATGACACGACTGCGGATCAGATTAAGGCCCGATTGATGAACACGCACATCCGCTGACCTGAAAACAGCTTTTGTTCTTTGGTTTCAATGTAGAGTATGTATGCTGCGTAATAACTGTAAAAAAAGGATTTTGCCTATCACAGGCTATTTTCGGAACGCAACCCCCAAGAAAAAAGGGTTCGCTGTAAATGTAATGTTTACTTAATTTTTTTCTACAGCAGAAGTTTTGTCAAAAAAGCGAAACAGGCTTCATTTCATAAGGTTGTAAAAACTTTTTAATAAAAATGTGTGGGAAAAAACAGTCCATGCATCCTCAGTCCAAACACATTCACTTAAATTTTCACTTTATGGTTCATGTTCATTCTTTATTGACTGAATATTAAATTAAATATATTTTAAATGTAACTGAAGATATTACATAATACAATGTATAATATTCAATAAAATACAAAGACTTAAATCTTATTGTATAGACTAGGTCATCAAATCACTACGTTGCCTGTAGGAATTTCTAATGTCCAGCAGGTGTCAGTATTGAGTGACACAGTATCGACACAGTATCAATACAGTGTTGCTATGAGTCGAAACGCCTCATGATGCCTCATTTACCCATCACTACCTTTTAGGCTCTTGGACCTGATTCTTCAGCTCGCCATCGAACCTGGCCTGTATAATAAAGCAGGACCAGTCTCAAATATATATATATATAATCAAAACATTCCAGTGTGCACACAAAAAGTAACTATTGGCACTCATTGCATTATGAATAATCCTGATAATCGTTTTGCCAACCAACGCATTTCCAAATACAAAATTTCTAGATAAATCTTATTTATAAAAAGTCAATAAATATGCTCCATACAAAATCAACAAACAATGTAAAAACATCAAGTTAGGCAAATACTTTTATAAATATTTAAGGCACCTCATTGTTCTCCAATTTGTTTGTTCAGAGTTGCAATAGAGCATCCGGATTGATGTCAACTAACGCCAAGTCTTCATAAAATGACTCACCAATTCCACAGTTCATAAGGCAAACAAGCGGTTTTGTGTTTCTCTTATCCCTCAGCTCACGACCGGAGACTCCTAAAGTTAGTACAATTTTATCAGCATCATACAAGATTAAAGAAAAACACAATGTTGCGCTAAACCGACCAGCAGCTCTGCTCTCCCAAACTTGTTCTAATCCTCCATGCTTTTCGCTCCAGCTAATATACCCAGCAAATGAGCTGACGGTGGTACATGTGACTCAGACGCTCAACAATGATTGGCTGCTTAGTAAATCTTGCGAGAATTACTGTTATATATCAAACTATCGTGCAATTTTGGAAGGCAAATGGGATAAATAGTAGCGATCCAGAAAATGGAACTCAACATTTGCACTCGGGTTACACCCTCCCCCCTTAAATCCATGCAACGCCGATGCATGTTAAATTATCTGAACATTAGAACATACAGGAGCAGAGACAGGTTCAGCAAAGGTTTCCCCGTAAGCAGTAGCTAAACTATGCAAAAGAGTTTGCACTACCGAAATTAATGGATTACCCAAAGAAGCATACTGAAAGCGCTTAATTGGTTTTGGTTGTCGACTAGTTCGACGAATTGGCTGTTCAGCTTCTAACCCATTATTGGTTTCAGGAATAGCTATAGGTGATTCAGGGGAATGTGGTGATAACATGGTTGGCTTTGGTAATGTCTCTACTGGGCCATGGGACTCCAGCACTTCTGCAGATGGACTCAGCTCAGGAACTTGTTCGGGCTTACGTGAACTTCCTGGGTCCATCTCATCTTCTGAAGGAACCTTCTCCAGGGCCCGAAGTGGATCCACGGTATCCGACAGTAGAGACGACTTGTCAACAACCGGTGAGGGGATCTGCCTCTCTGTCTCAGTTTCTGGAACCCTGATCATGGACTGGGTAGGGATTGTTCCCTCAACACTGACCTTCACAGGTGACAAAACTGAGAACCGAGTTACACTCCACTCCTCAACATCCTCATCCAGGCTCTCCTCAAGGTCCTCCATTGGTTCCTGGAGACTGCGGGTATGAGGTCTACGAGCAGGCGTAGAAATTGGCTGGTCAACTTCTTCAATCTGGGGGAGAAATCCACAAGGGAGAAGAAGGTCGCAGTGCAGAGTTCGGGTCCCTCCAAAGGGATCTGCTTCTGGTCTTACAATATACACAAGAAGTTCACCCACACGACCAACCACCACATAGATATTTGTCTCCCACTTATCCTCCAGTTTATGCTTTCCTCTGAGCCTCACATTTCAACAAACACAAAACTATCTTAACTTTGGTTTGAGGTACATTCATAATAACATGTTCATAATGTTCTTGTGAGTAGATAATTTAGAATGTTATATCTAGTCATTCTCAGGCAACATAATACATACACTGTCAATGTCAATTTATTTATAAAGCACCTTAAAAACAGCCATTAACTGCACCAAAGTGCTATACAAGGGAGGTCCAGTGTCAGGTCTTTTTAATAAACCATTAATTATACACACCTGGGGTTTTTTGTCTTTAAATTGTTTGGAAATGTATTGTTACACCCCTGGACTACCTTGGGGACGCAACAGCCATTTATAGCTTTATAAAACAATAAAGGAGTTTCAAAACCAATCAGAGAAGAAACTGGCAGTCAATGCAGAGAAGCCAATACTGGGGTTATGTGCTCTTGTTTCCAGGTTCCAGTTAAGAGTCCAGCTGCAGCTTTATGAATCATTTGGAGACGCTGTACAAAAGATTGGTCCATAATGCGTTGTAGTAGTCTAAGCATGTAGTAATGAAGACATCGAGAAACTTAAGCAAGTCTTTGATAAAGAAGCTAGATTTTAACCTTTGCTAGAAAGCACAGATGAAAAACGCTTGGTTTCACTACAGAGCTCACCTGCTTGTTCAATTTCAAGCAACTGTCAAAAATGACACCAAGATTCCTAACAGAAGACTGATTAAAAAAGAGCAAGAGAATCAAGGGGGTACAGGCAATCAGCAGCAAGAAAAATGAATTGGCTGCTTTGCAAATACCAGCGCTTGTCAAGTAGCATTGCTGGCAGGTACTGCAGTTTCCCAAATTGCATTTAATTTCTTTAGATCTGTAAAAAGGAACAAGTTTCCACAAGTAATTTGCAGTTACAGTCTACATAAAAATCTGCAAATAAGTGAATCTGCAAATACATGCTCACATCACAAATATAGCTCTTTTTCCCTTCTGCCTGAAGGTAATAACATTTCGGAGTGGTCCAGCTGAAGCCCTGACTTGGATCTAGTAGAAAATCTTTTGAGGAAGTTAAAAGAGGCTGTTTAACCTCAAACATGGAGGTTATCAAGAATAAATAGACAAAATACCACAGGACACAAGCAAAAGGTACTCAGCAATACTGACAATGCATTGTGTAATGCAAGGAAAATTCATTGATAACTTAAAAAAGTATCAACAATTTTCAACTTTTCAACTAAAATATAAAAAACCCCTTCTTTTATTGTTAAAATTCCTACTCCATTTACATTGTTTTATTGTTTTCAGTAGCTTGTTTCTCATTTCCTAACAGAAACTGAGTTTTTAATCTGTTATTATAAATCTAAACCTGCCATACTTATAATTTCAGCTGCTTATGGAATGAAAAGCCACAGCCAGATTGCTTGCTTGATAAGGTTGACAACATTTTAATTGAATCAAGAGATGTCAACATGACATTGGTATTATACTTATACATTATTGTTATAAGCAAACAAAAATATGTAAATTCATGTAAATGCTTGTTCTCTCTGCTGCCCTCTAGGAAAAGGTTCAGCAGCTTCAAAAGCAGAACAACCAGATTCCACAACAGCTTCATCCCTCAGGATGCTACGCTCCCATTAATTTCATCTTTTATTATATGTATTTACATTCATACTTTTTGTTATTGAAGCCTTGAAACAAAATTTGTTTCAATTTGTACATTTTTACATGTAAAATTGCCATGTGTGCCACAAAGAGTTTCCTACCTTCTCTGAAGGAACACTTGAAATCTCACTTTCCCAGATAATTATGTGACCTTAACATAGAAGTAAACACACGTTTAATGGTGTTTAGCATATTTTTCTACACTAGACATAGACAAAGCATGTCTATGTTTAAATATTAACAACTGAATATGTTATCAGTTCTTATATTTGTGGTTGTAGACAAACCTTAAATATACCTTATTTGTGCCTTTGATTAAAACATAACACGTTCCAAAACAAATATCTGCATACTACATATTTAGGACAAAACCTAAGATCATCGCCTTTTCACAACCTCCACAGCTGCAGTCAGTAACTGGAATAACTAACCTGTGAAGAGAGGATGACATGTTGCGCCACTAAAACCAAGAGTTACAAACAGAGAACAGTTTCTTATCTTTCAACTGAAGACAATTGTTGACTTTAGTGAGGCTTTTCTTTATTTTTCAGAGAACGTGAAGAGTGCTCTAGGCTGGACACAGGTACAAGGCAGGAAAGATCTACTTTCCATTTGTGTGAAGTTACATCCAAGTTTCCATAAAGAAATGCTGTGCCTTAATTGTTGATGTTTTTCTCCACATTTTCACACAAATACAAATTAATTTGGGATTTTTGGGCGGGGACAGATTTCTGTAAAATTGTGAAGTATGAGACAGAAATATTTGTCATGCATTTCTGTTCATTCCAGTGCCAATACCAAGTAGAATCACATTTTACTGCAAATTAATCTTTGTGAAATTAATCTATCAGTTTTGTGCATCTAGTGCTGAGATTTTCGCCCTACTTGTTTGCTAAACATTTCCAGCTCTGTCTGATTTAAGGTGGATTGTCTGTGAACTAAGGCAAGAATTGAGCTAAAGTTAATGCCAAAAATTTCTGCAATGTCATGACCACCGAGTTACAAAAAAAAAATAAAAAATCTGTTTCAATGGAATAAACTGTTGTGACTTCAGACATTAGGTAAGAACATGGAGCTGGAGTATGAATTCTTGTCTTCCTCGTCATCGTGCCCCTTCTGATCTTCCAGAAGTTTATCCAGCAGATTAGGGGACCCTGGCTCTTCTTCAGGATTTTCTTCCAAGGAATGATCTTGTGGTTCTTGGTCCAGCTCATGCTCTGAGTGCTGTTGGATGTCCAGAATCTGAGGGTGAGGGTCCACCGCCTGGGTCTCTGGTTGAGGAATCATGGCGGACAAAGACATGGATAAAGGCATATGAACCAAAGGGGGTCCAGGCAGAGCTGCAGAACCTGAGGCAAACTGAACTCCTGGGTTGGGCATGGCAGATATGGTGGTAAGAGGCTGTGCCCACAAGGGATAGGCCAGCCCGGAGTCTGGGCGCTCCATCTGAGCGAGGGAGCTTTGACCTGGAGCCACTGGGATGGTCTGAAAGAACAAACACAGTCCAAGTTGTATTTCAAATGCACTGAAACGAAGTTAGGAATCTACAATCCGCTGCTGATACAGACTAAGAGCAAACACTTAAAATTTTTGAAGTAATAGATGACAAACGAGACTGGCGACCTGTCCAGGGTGTCCCGTCTCCCTGCCGACCCCACTAGGGACACGGGTGTCAGAAAATGGATGGATGGATGACAAACACAGAGAGATTACCATTTGGTAAGAAAAGTTTCCCAAATGGAAGAGTGGTTGTGGGTTGACCTGTTGATCTGTGATTTGGAGCAACCAGCTTGTGATCAGATTTGAAAATCAGCACCAACTTTCACTTTTAGCTTGTACCCTTTCCACTTCGACCAGCATGGTTAAACATTAATAATCAATTTTATCTTCTGTTTTTACTGTTTTCTGAAGTCCACCTGTGTGAAATATCCCAGTCCATAAATCAACACATTAGCAAACAATCTTTTGGAAAATTATTTTCTTATTTTTTGTAGCAGAGGATTCCCACAACATAGTTAGGAAACTATCCTGTTACTGTATCAGATACAGGATTACACACACACACACACACACACACGTACACACACACACACACACACACACACACACACACACACACACACACACACACACACACGTTAAAGATACAGTATAAAAAGACTGTAAACCAGGTGATGTTAATATTTTGCCAAAAACGGTGCTTTTCTCCACCTGGTTAACAACTTGATAAACCATAAAAATAATGACTTATTTACAAAATTTGTTGAAAGATTTTAATGAACAAGCCTGAGCTTGCTTCTGCTTTGCTTCAGTTCAGTCCTTTCTTAGTGATTCTAGTTTATTATCCATCCATCCAACTTCTTCCACTTATTCGGAGTCGAGTTGCAGGGGTAGCAGCCTAAGTGGGGAGACCCAGACTTCCCTCTCCACAGCCACTTGGGCCAATTCCTCCGGGGCATAATCTCAACGTGCTGCCAGGCCAGCCATAGTCCCTCCAGTGTGTCCTGTTACCAAGAGCACATATGGACACCCTCATGCTTGAACATGGTGTTTGTTATGGACAATATGTGATGAGCACAGAAGTCCAACAGAACACCAATCCAGTTCAAATCAGGGGGGCTGTTCCCCCCAACTACCCCTTTCCAGCGAATGTTAAGTCACTTTCAGATGCATCCTACAGTTCTTACATTTAGTCTAGTTTAATTTATTGCATAAAGTCTGTTTCC